ACCTAGGGACAATTTAGAGTGTTCAATCAGCCTGACACACATGTTTTTGGAATGTGGGAAGAAAGTAGCCGGAGAAAACCCACGTAGGCACGGGGAGAACATGCAAACTCCACACAGGAAGATCGGAACCAGCATCGAACCAAGACCTCTGCACAGTGAGGTCAACGCGCTAACCACTGGATCACCGGGCCGCCTACCAGGTACTCCCACATTCCAAAAACATAGAGGGTAGGTTGATTGCTTCCTCTTAATAGTCCCTAGGTGTGACTGTGAACGGTTGTATATATAGCTTCTGAAGTCAACTGGGATAGGCTCCAGCATGCCCGCGACCCTTGTGAGGATAAAGCAGATTGGAAAATGGATGGATGGATAATGGACAAACGTAATTACTGTACATATTAATTAATTAATGTACATATTATAAATTAATAGTTCTTTGAATTGATAATAAAATACAATAAGTAATGATCTTACATCAATAATAAATCACCTGTCTTATTTTTATATATTAATTCTTCACCATTGCTCAAGAATTTTTTTGTCGAGATAAGGCAAAAAGTGACTAGTTTTTCCTATTTAAAAAAAATCCACACTCATCAAGCCCAAGCGACAAGTTACAGTCGATGTACACTGACCAAGCATGACCTTGTGGGATTGAAAGCAGCTCCTTTACAATTTACGACCAATTACTGTTGAAGAGAGCGCCCGTACCGATGACAAATAACTTGAGCCGTCACCATCCTGACCGTCATTTACCGATTTATTATGAGTCGAGGTGGCAATGCTGCTGTCCTTTTCTTCGCCTTTCTGATGATGTCATGTCGGCAAGTGTAAACTGAGTTGGATGGTACAAAAAAAAACATTCCGTCAACCCTCCTGTTATGTTGTTTCTGAGAAATGGAAAAAAAAAATGTCCATGAGTCAGTTTGACCCCGGACATGTTTACTTACCAAAACGTGGCAGAAACTGAAACAGATCCCAATAAACGCGAGCATCTGATTAACTCCATTACAGACGTTTTCAATATTTAGTGAATTACTTCTTGCAGATGACAGCTCAATGACATTTTGAAATGTGCACCTATTTGAACTGAACCCTTTTCATGTTGTTTAAACTTAAGCTCAACAGGAGAATATTTTTATTTGATTTAATTTTTTACTGCGACATGTGTAAAATTGACTTGTTCGTGTACAATTAGTTCAGTATACAATTAGTTTTTGAAGTGCCTACCCACTCGTCAAATATGGTACAATCTTTTGGTTTGATTGCTCTGCTCACCACAGGTAAAAATAAATAAAACACGAAGTTAATTCACCAACAGTGAACCACAAATAGGTGGGGGTTCATTGTACACAGTCTTTTTTTTTTTCAAGTCAAGGAACTCATCATTATATTTCCAATATTCATAATATTGCC